ACTCATAGCAAAACTTCAAGGTACACATAACTGACTCACTATTAAATTATGGTTTTTGAACCATGAAGCATTACTGCCTAAACGCAATCGATTTGTTTCAAGGTACTCATTGAAAGTCTTCTACGCGACACTTCTTATTAGAAAATCCACAGTCTATATTATGTCATCGAGATCAGTGATAAGAGGCGATTTGATTGAGTAAATATCTCAAGTAGTGGAGTTATCAGTAAAACTGGATCGGATTAGATTCGTAAAGCATGCTAAATGTCGAACAATTCTAGTACGTGCTAGTTCGAAACTGTGACACGAAATTCATGAGTAAATGGCTGAATATTGCCATAATATGCTTTGATTTTATGGTTACTATCGTATAATCTGTGGATATTCATTTTTTTAAAAATATTTTCAGAATAAGTTGGATCAAATATTACTGAAAGCTGGTAGGCTTCTTCACACATTTTATTTTTTTTCTAAAGAATATCGGATTGTTTTGTTGTTGTAAAACAAAAGAGACAAATATGTTTCCAGCTGAACTTTTGTGACAGAGTCTTCACTTTTAACCGATCTGTTGCCAAGGATTTCAGCACATTTATTAGTAACTCTATACTATGACGAATATAATGAATATTCTACTCACAGATAGTTCGAAAAATCTTTCAACAAATGTATCAGAACAAATTATTTGCATGCAATTAAACCACTATTTGTTCAAATACTTGCTGGAATAAAGCTTAGTTGAGCTCATTCTATTCCTTATTCGCTGTAAGTTCCCACACTTTTCTAAGAGTAATGTGCGAGAGGTTAGTCCCATCCTGTCCCGCCACTGTCCAGAAACATCTTTTCCCCAGTCTGCGAAGCTCTGTCACCTACTGGAAAATCAATAAAGTTCTTCGTTCTGAAAATGTTTCTAACATTATCTATCACATCCATTCTCAGAATATCTAATAAAATCTTTCATCAAACTGACACATCTACGATTGAATAGCATGCTTCTTGCATTTCTGAAAGACAAACAAAATTTCTAAAAAGGTTTACTCAAGTCTGAGCTATAGACAATAGAATATTTGAAGAGATATTCGAATTGGTTTTGTCATTTTCTATGTACAATGGCTGAATGTATTGAGAAACAGATATCATGAAAAATTCAATGATTTCATCAAGAGCGCTCCATCTTTTCAACCTTTCATAAAAGCTTAGATCTACATTGCTCGTCTGCTTCCATCTCTCATGACGTAGAAAGCATTCATTGACGTCAAAGGAAATCGGATCTCATTAGTTTCTTCATGACAACTGTGTTTGAATAAAAGTTTGCCAAACATGATAAATATCTTGGAATGTTTGTCAGAGAAATAGTTGCAAATCATGACTACCAAAGGAGCATATAAATTTCAATTCAAACAACACTACTGTTGTGATTTAGACATGCTTATGAAAACATGAAATATAATCATATATGTAGTCCTGACAAAGTGAAAGAAAAACAGTGATTGATTGTGATGTTATCATGATTTTTATAGTTTTTCAGTATTTATCGTCTTTCTTCTTTTGGTCATGTCTATTTCAATTGATTTTTTGTTTCCGGAAGAGAGCAAGCAATTCTGTATCACTTACGAGGAACCGCTCGAAGTGATTCACCACTTTTGAGCTCATGTTTTGGGCATATAGAGAGGACCTCTAGACTAGAATAACCCTAAAAGGATTCGGGCCCATAGGCTTCCTCTACAGAGCTATAGCCATTTTACTTGAGTCTTAGCCTATGGCACTGTATGTACAAACAAATCGACTGACGGTATTTCGACCTGAAATTTTGCCCACAGATAGGTCTACTTGTAACTAGAATGCCATGAAAATTTCAACCCAAAAGAATGTTTCCTTCGCGAGATATTGAATGTCGATAAAACATGATATTCTCGCATCTTTTATGGGATCTGAGTGTGGGTGGGGTGTGAGTGTGGGTGGGGTGTGAGTGTGGGTGTGGGGTGTGGGGTGTGGGTGTGGGGTGTGGGTGGGTGCGGGTGTGAGTGTGGATGTGGGTGGGTGCGGGTGGGTGGGTGCGGGTGTGAGTGTGGGTGTGGATGTCTTTTCTATTCTACACCCACACCGACATCCATACCCACACCCACACCCCACCCGCACCCACCCACACCCACACCCACGCCCACATTTTATAATATTTCCATCGGAAATAATTTATATAAATATATCTCAAAAAAAATCATTTCTTAGTTGTGAAACAGATCAAATAACATCATATTGTACATTGTCGAAAACATTATTATCAATATTTGAATAGCTTTATCAACAATATGGTTTAACTGTATCAAATGAATAAATCAATTATTATAACCATATTTAAATTTAATTGAACCAGATAATAGATCATTTATTCAACTATTACTTTTATTATTTAATAGGGGTGTCATATTCCACTTACTATCACTAGTAAGTGGTAAGTGGTACCACTTACCACTTCCCGGTAAGTGGTAACTAGTACCACTTACCACTTACCAGTAAGTGGTAAGTAACGAAGATTATCATGCAAGAATAAATAACCAATAATTAATATGATCATTTATTAGTGCTAAATCGATAATTATTCGATGATTACAACACTTACCACTTACCTGGTAAGTGGTGGTAAGTGGTAAGTGTGACACCATAACCTAAATTTAATTAGTCAAAAAAATCACGAAAGATTTACGGTGGAATCATCCATAATGTATCGTGAGTGATCTGTCTTCAATTAGATATAAACCACTTACCACTTACCGGGAAGTGGTAACTAGTATCACTTACCACTTACTGGTAAGTGGTAAGTGGTGAAAATTACCATGCAAGAATAAATAATCAATAGTTAAGATACTCATTTATTAGTGCTATATTGGTAATTTTTCGATGATCACAACACTTACCACTTACCTGGTAAGTGGAAGTGGTGGTAAGTGGTAAGTGTGACACCCCTATTATTTAATGATCTTGATCATCTTTATTATTTAACAAGAAAAATTAAATATATATTTATTGACATGATTTACTTTGTATAGATATATTATTATTTTGTTTATCAATATTTAATTCATGTATACGTATATTAAGACAATTTTGGAGTTGGTTGATTATCAAGAATACAATTTCAAAAAATATAGGTTTCATTTTCAGCTTCAATTAATCCACCACAAGTCAATCTAATGATGAAAATAAACAAACAACAAATAATTTTAAAAAAAAAGAATAAATTTTAGAAACCAATGCAACACAATGGTAACACGGCAAAAAAAACACTAGATTTTTTTCTTTTTTTTTCTTCTCTTCATAGTGTATGGATTTGTGGTGTAACAACATTTTTATTAAATGCACATCGATGGAATTGTACAGGAAATCCAGTTGATATGACATTTGAACATCGATATTGTAATTGATCGATTCCATTTTTATTAACAGATTATCCTATGGACAACTTTTATATGATACTATATTAACATCAATTCAAAGTAATAATACATTACCATTACCAGTTAATGTAAGTTCATATATGTTTTAATAATTGACAAGTAGAACTTGTATTTTTGTTAATATTGAATATTCAACATAAGTGTAGAAAAAAAAGGTTATCAAAAGAATTTTAAACTTTATTATACAGAACTCTAAGTTAAGAGAAAGTCAAACTCGTTGCTAAATTATCAATTTCATCAAATAAAAAACGTAGTGTTTCTCTGACTTTTATTTGATATATAATGCATGCAAACAAACTATCTTATTTCATATAGATAAAAGATTATATCAATAATTTCAAATATATTCTAATTACTTCTTGCATTCTATTAATAAAGTGTAAAATATGAGAAATAGTTGCTATCAATCAAAAAATTAGATTGAACGCTTTCTTCACTAGCATTCACTTTCCATTTAAAAAATATATATAATTTAGAGTTTATTCGATCGTTTATTTTCTCGTCATGGTCTTCATTTAATATCATCATTGCAAATTCTAATTGAAATGTATGTTCATTGGTTAATAACAAATTCAAATATTTTATGTATTCAATTAAGGGTGTGGGTGTGGGTGTGGGTGTGAGCGTGTGAGTGTGGGTGTGTAGGTGTAGATAATTAGGAGAGACATCAACTCACACCCACACACCCACACCCACATCACCCACACTCACATCACCCACACCCACATCATCCACATCCACACCCACACCCACACCCACCCACACCCTCATTATTTTAATATAAAATAAATGCATGCCATTAATTTCCATAAACCTCATATAACAGATCATGCTTAATTATCCATCTACGAAAGTTTCCGTACAAGACAGAAAATAAAATTATTGTTATTGTGTTATTCAATCTATGTTCCGAATGCATCTCATTATCCATCGATTAATTTTAAGAAATGATACAGATACCCAAAAACTTTTCTACTTACATTCTACTTCTTTGACGTTCCATTATTGGTTAGTTTAAAAGAATTAGTAAGATAAATTAGTCCGAAGAAAGTGAGACGTGTCAGACTAGTCAAAGTCGTTTGACATCGACTGGTTTCTGATTGTCTAGTGGATGGACAGGAGTCAACCTGTGATTTAAACTGTATAAACTGACGGTAGTCTATATTAGTGTCCTAGTCTGCCGTCAAGATACCCGTCAGATTTTGAATACTGTCGGGTTGGATGTTCAAATCCACCTTTCATCTTCTTTCTTTTAGTCTTCTGACTACTCTGGATGGGATCAACTGAGAAAACGGACTAGACATGACTAGATTCAAGGACATTCTAGACTAGTCCTGACGTGTTTGAAGCACATTTCTCGAAAATGTGACTAGTCATGACGAATGTACCTGACGTTTCAGACTAGACCTGACGAATGATAAGGACATTTCGGACTAGTCATGTCGGCTGTCTCCCTTTATCTTTTGCTTACATGGGAATTTTGATTATTTAAATGAAAAAGAAGATAGAATGGAGTAACATAAGCAGAAAATAAAAGTTCATAGACAATTATTCACGAACAACACCGGTGCTAGTAAGTGCCTCAGTGCCAACATAGTTTATATTGTCATTATTTGTCCATTTACCATCATTCGATTTATTTCTATTGTTGTAGACTAAATTCAATCCATATAAAATTTCTCGGTCTGCGTCATCACCCATACTACCAGCATTGTAATTAACGAGAATGGCAAAAGGAACATCAGCCTTGGGATAAAGAAAGGCGTACGACATGAAATATCCATTTGAACCTGAATGCCATAACAGTAAACCGCCTGGATAAGCAGAATGGATTTCACTTTGCCAACCTCCAATCGTATAGGTAGAGGCAAGAGAAGCATTAGCAAACTTGTATGGAGATTGAAGAGTTTCATAGATGGAGGATGAAGAAATAATTGGATCATTATTTGCATTGTTATCGCGAGCTCTGTAAAGATGATTTGCTATGTATTTCGTCCAATCTAACCCTGAGAAGTGAATTCTTCCGGCGGCAGTAATAGCGGACGGATTATCTTCACCTGTTGACACCCACTGGTTGTCGACACGATAGTGACCGTAGGGCTGCTTAGGTGGATTTAATTTATTCTCATCACTCTGTGGAGCACCAAATCCCGTGCTATTCGAGTTCATGTGTAATTTATCAAAGAGCAAACGTTTTATAATGGTTTCATACGGAGCAGAGTATAATTCTTCCAGTACAAGACCGATGATCATATAACCAAAATTAGAATACATATATCCAGAAGGAGAATTGACTGAACTTGGTGGTTTGGCTAAAGGAGTTTTGAGCAGTTCACCAAAAGTGTACCGTCTTGAAGGAAATAAATAATTATTATTGTCCACCTCATTTTTGGCTTCAATATTCACTATTTCACTCCACAATGTTTCCTTAGTAGACTCGTCTTGAATACCCGACGTATGAGTTAATAAATGTGCCAACGTCACATTATTCCAAGAACTATCTACCGTAAATGATTCTTTCAGTAAATATTCAGATGAAGACAAGTAATCAAGTTTGAGACCCAGGCCGTTGGTAGAAGTGTTATCTTTACTCCATGTCAAATAGCTGAAAATTTGACGTAGCGTAGTATTATACTGTATATGAAATAGATTTGATTCTATAGCATTAGCAATTAATATAGCTGCCATAGATTTGGCACATGATCCAATATGAAAAGCGTCATAAATTGAGATGTTTCTTAACAGGGAAGAATTTATATCCGCTCGACGAGTACCATAAGTTGCATATCCCATTAGATGATATGGATTAGGATTTTTATGAGCAATCACATCACTCAGTTGCTCTTGGCCAATAGTTTGAATAATTAACGCTTCAATACCTGGAATATCGTATTTTAAAGCTAATGAAGTTATAACTTTGAAGATTTCAGCATTGTGATACAAATCAGGATTATCGTACGATAATTTACGTAATATGGTGCGAATAAAACAACGTTGAATGATAGAAAATAGTAACATTTTCATTCTAATGTACTTAAACTTTGATGTAAGTTGGATAATGATATTTTAGTTTTCAAAATAAAGTGATATAACTGCTCCTTCTCAACACAATGGTTATATATCAGGCAAGAGGAATTACGTCATCCCTACCTTCGCAGTGGTTTTCTATTTCGTTCTTATCAAACTAAAATCCTATTACAAATATTGACTCATTTATTATTCTCGATCCAGAACAGGTAAAAAGCATTTGAATACTGTTTTAATAAATCAATGTCATATATTATCTTTTCTGATTTCTTTCAGTAATGATTAATTATGACAAATAAAACCATCAATGATTGTGACATTTAAAGGTCTTTTTCTAAGAAATGAGTAAAAACAGCACTAGTTAGTGGGTTGGAATGACAATGGGAACTACTTCTCTTTTAGAAGAAAAGATAATGTAAAAAAAATGTTTGCAAACGAATTAGCTGGTTCATTACTTCTGAAGCCATCAAAGGAACAGGTTTATGCCTTTAGACAAATCATCAAGGAACGTATAAATGAGGCAACCATCATCATCTTGTCTATATATCTAAATGTTAGTGTTTGTTTTCTTACGAGTTGTTTTATGTCGAAGTAGAAATATGCCAAATAGAATTTGCTACTTGTTCTATTATCTTAATGCTAAAATTCTCGTGAATAGATAATGATGTTTCTATCTGATAAAGAAAAGACAAAGTTCTATAACAGATTTTACGGCATGATTTTAGGTATATGAAAATGAGTCGAATCTCAATAGATTATATCAACCTAAACATTCGAAAACGATTGATATCTGTATTCTTCGTAAATAACACTAAGAAAAAAGCCTTGAAAACAGACCAAAATACGTAGCTATCAATAACCTTATAAAGTTGACACAATCAACTGTAGATAGCATACAAAATTCAAAATGTTCTACAGTACACAAAAGATCAGGTGAACATACAAATAGCACACGTCGACATAAAAACTAAAATACCAGATTATCAGCCAAAATGGAATCCAACTTTTGTTCATACATTTCGATCTTGTCATAGAGAAAAGAGATTTTTGCATGTTCTTTTCTCGAGTTTGGTAAAAAAATGCAGAAGAAGAAAATACCGATAGAAAAGCATGGGGATGTAAAAAGGAGGAAATAACGAAAGTGAAAATATCGATTGGCAAAAACAGAAGCAGGGACAAAGCCGAAACGAAAATATCGAAAAGTTAAATTTTCTTTTTTATTAATACTAACGAAAAGAAATATTTTTATTCAATCACATGAAAAAAGCGAACAGGATTGCACTAATTTCACTATTCCTGAACCTCGTACTAAGTGTTGCAAACCGTTGTTGAAAAATTGTTGTGAGGATGAGAGTGAGATTATTTAACAGAAAAATGAAGAGTTAAAATCTGTCGAATTATCTCATCTATTCACGATAAATATACATCATTCTCGAAAGAACTCATACACAGCGGATACACCTGAGCAAGGGGGAACGCGAAATTCGCAATACAGACCTTCGCAGTTGACTTTCGCCAATAGGTGAAAGTTGTGTTTTTATAGAACTTTCGCTGTTAACAGAACTGCACTATTGCCAATTGCTAAAAGTCCAATAAAAACTCAACTTTTGCCAATTGTTGAAAGTACGAAATTAGCATTAAATCCACTAACCAAGGTGTTTACAAAATTACACTTTCAACAATTTTTTTAGTTACCGAATTTTCGGTAAGGACTGATTAAATTTTTGTTAAGAATGTATACTAGGGTGTGGGTAAGATTAGTGACCAGAAAAACAAGTAAAATCTAATAACATAAAAAAATGATCATTTTCTAATTTTGATTTTTTGTTGCGTCATTATTTGTACAACACGTCTGATAATAGAACACTTTTGTATCATCAACCATAAATCATATTGTATCAAAACAATTTCTCATTTTCACTCTATAAAAGACAGGGCAACTCAATTGCTGCCCTCTAACTTCCGAGACTATCAGCTTTTTTATACCTCACTCAAAACTGAATTCATGAGTTGTCTAATTCGAGCTCGAATATAAATGAAGCTTCAATTGCCTAATATCTCTTCGAAAATAAATGAAAAAAAAATTTGAGCCGGCACTTATTAGGATGTTTGTTTCGACTCCAAAGAAGATGGAGGAGATGAACAAGAAATTGAAGATTGACCAAATTTTGATGTTGATACTTTTTTGAGGCTTTTGAGCAACAAATTTACGAGATGAAGAAGAAGAAACTTGATTAGTATGATAAAAAAGTGTGGGTGTGGGTGTGGGTGTGGGTGTGGATGTGAGTCTTTTCTGAATGCACAGTCACACGCACACGCACACCCACACCCACACCCCACACCCACACCCACACCCACACCCACACCCACACCCCACACCCACACCCACACCCACACCCACACCCACACCCACACCTCAAAAAAATCATGCTTATATTATAAAATCGCTTTTCAATATAATAATAAGAAAGCTTTATCAAAAAAAGGGCCCTCATAGCCGCTGCAGTTTTTGATGCTTTTTTAAACAAAAAAAAAATTTGACTTTATATCGGATTATAATTGACTTTTGGTGGGGATGCGTCATTCGACCACCACTTTCAGAAAAAAAGGAAAATATTTTTGGATTTTTTCAAAAACCGCTGGTTTTTTGAATAGGGGTTGCCAGAAATCTCGAAAATTTTTCGGAAAAAAGAACGTATCGAAGAAAAATTTTTATCATTTATGAAAGAGCAAATGACAGGCTATCTTCCAATGGATTTATCTCAATTCCAATGATTCTGACGAAATGCGACTTTTTTGAGGGGGGGGGGGGGGCTTAAAGGATAGAAATAAGAGGGGTTAAGGATAGAAATAAGAGGGGTTAAGGATAGAAATAAGAGGGGTTAAGCATAGAAGTAAGGAGCTTAAGCATAGAAATAAGGGGATTAAGGATAGAAATAAGGAAGGTTAAGGATAGGAGTAAGGAGCTAAGCATAGAAATAAGGGGGTTAAGGATAGAATTAAGGGGATAAGTGTAGAAATAATGGGTTAAGAATAGAAATAAGGGAAATAAGTATAGAATTAAGGGATTAAGGATAGCAATAGGGCGTTAGGTATAGAATTAGGGGATTAAGATCAGGAATAAGGGGTCAGGCATAGAAATAAGGGATTAAGAGTAGGAATAGGGGAGTTAAGTATAGGTTTAAGGGGTTAAGTATAGAATTAAGAGATTAACTATAGAATTAAGGAATAGGTATAGAATTAAGAGGTTATAGTAGAAATAATGGTTAAGTATAGAAACAAGAGGTTAGATAGATAAATAAGGGGTTACGTATAGAAATAAGAGTATGGCATGTCGTACGAAACCTTTTGTTAAGCTAGCGAAAAATGGGTTTGTACGAAACCGAGAGCACAATACCCTTTTCCATGCTAACAAAAAAACAGCTGTATACGAAACCTAAAAGGGGTTTCGAATTCGTTGCAAAGTGAGAAATCCTTTTTTAGTTTCGTATAAAACCTTTTTTGTTTTCAGTGTACGGCAATACAAACTATCTCTCAAACAATCTCGGATAGACCATCATAAATAAGCTCCATACACCGAAAGAAAATATTGTTTTAAACCGTATACAGTGCTAAAAACTACCTGATGATTCCGACCCTTGAGAAAGGTCGAAACTATAGTAGTAGTTTTTCTTCAAATTCTAATATACACCCTCAAATAATTAAACGTGAGAAGATCTCTGAATCTTTTCAATTTGATTTTTGTTTTTGAAAAATTTATGCAGTGCTAAAAATTACCTGATGATTCCGACCCTTGAGAAAGGTCGAAACTATAGTAGTAGCTTTTCTTCTAATTCTAATACACATCCATCCTTTTTTGAAATGTGGCAAATTTAAGAATATTATATTGAAAATTGTTATTCAAATGTTTTAAAATATAATTTTCGAATAACAAACTAAGTAAATATAATATACTTAGAGAAGTCCAAAAGTAGTGGCAGAGGTTATTTTTTTTTCTTATAAGAGGCTTGAAAAAATTTTCTTTTTTTATGAATAGATAGAGCGTCTTTCGCTCTATCTTTATATGCTATTTGATCACTATTCAACTAATATCATAACAATAAAATTTTGATGAGAACTATTTTTGCTGAAAACCAGCCGGTAGCATTTAGGTCATAATGAGTGTAGCATAAAAAAAAGGGACACTTTTGCATTTCATTTTATTATCACTGAATACTTAGTATTGAAAAAAAACCAAAATATACCAGAAGATGTAGCGTGAAAAGCTCTACAGTTTATAAAGTGCCGCTTATTTTAATAGTTGTACTTTTTGTGTTGAAAATGGACAACACTATAAGCTACCAAATTTCGACCTTGCGAAAAGGAGATAGTTTTTTTGTAAAAGATGACTTCCGCTTTTCCTATCTCCTCTTTTTATTACTTGACATGTTTTATTTTAAAAAACAAAATACACTGTAAGATGCAGCATGAAGAGCTCTACAATTTACAAAGAATAATTATACAGAGATTATATTTTAAAAAATCGAATTCTTGTTTTTTACCAAAAAACGTCTCGCTTTCATCACGTCGAAACTTGGTAATTCAGAGTTTTGTCTATTTTTTAAAACAAAAAGTACAACTATTAAAATAAGCGGTACTTTATAAATTGTAGAGCTTTTCACGCTGCATCTTCTGGTATATTTTGTTTTTTTTCAATACTAAGTATTCAGTGATAATAAAATGAAATGCAAAAGTGTCCCTTTTTTTTATGCTACACTCATTATGATCTAAATGCTACCAGCTGGTTTTCAACAAAAAATAGTTCTCATCAAAATTTTATTATTATGATATTAATTGAATAGTGATCAAATAGCATATAAAGATAGAGTGAAAGACGCTCTATCTATTCATAAAAAAAGAAAATTTTTCAAGCCTTCTATAAGAAAAAAAATAACCTCCGCCACTACTTTTGGACTGCTCTAAGTATATTAAGAATTTCACTTGATGAAGTC